CCCTAACTTGTCTTGTGAGCAGTAATAGACCCATATACTTCCTGTGAGCATTAGTGGACCCATATTCGTCCTGTGAATGGTAAGGGGATACAAATTCGTTCTATGAAGTATAGGGGAAATATTAGGGTACAGAATCGGCTAAAGAACTCAATGTTCGTTTAGCTAAGTTACAGCATTGATAAGCTAGTCAGTTTAACATTCACAGTCTAGTGACACACAATGGGTTCAGACGAAGGTTTTATTGGTATCAAAATATAGTAATATACTGCCTTGTAACAGAACAATTATGTTCATATTCGACATGGTCCTCAAAGGTTGACAACTGTGAGATTGATTGATGAAGATTAAGCCACCCAAGAGGTGGCATAGGCATGAGTGGCCCGTAAGCAGCTCTGGGAGCCACAAGCTAATTAAGTCGTGGAGCAACACCACCTCTTCCTTCCCTTCCCAGATATTAATAACTTGGACCCACCTGCCTGGTGAAGGGTGGACGGCTGAGCTCGAGACCGGGGATCTGGTCCCCCGGATGGGGGTGATGGTGAGGTTAGCAGAGTTGGGGATGGGTCACCCATGGGCAGGGGTTAAGGTTTGGTTGGGGGAAGAGTGGTGTGTGTGGCTGTTGAGTTCTTGTGCAGTTTAGTGTTGTGATGTTGGAGAAAACATGAGAGTAATAGAACTTACGGAAGGCCAAGGGGCCAAGAGGGAAGGCCAAGGGGCCAAGAGGGAAGGCCAAGAAGGTCAGAAGGCCAAGAAGGCCAAGGGGAAGGCCAAGGGGCTAAGGTGATGGCCCATGCGAGGCAGCATCTCATCACACACACCAACTAAACTCATTCATGTATTCATCAAACTTCCGCTTGAAATAATGCAGCAATTTCACATCTATTTCGTTTCACGGTAATTTGTTCCATAAATAAACAACCCTATTACCAAATCAATATATACCCATGTCTTTTTTAATCCAAACTCGTCCAATTTGTATATATTAAGTTGCTATATTTTGTGTTGATATATTCAGCACCTTAATATCACGTCTCCTCTTACTCTTCGCCTTTCTAGAGAATGTAAATAAGGCTTTCTTGATCTCTCCATAAGGGAGAGTCAACAACAATTCCGACTCGAGAAATACCTGTGAAGGACACCCCGTCTCCGTTCACTCCGTGTAGGGCCACACTTCCGTCTTGTTGTGTCTACAGTGACTTATCTGGCGAGGTGCGACCATTGCTCAACTGCTGCCCTCTGTATGTTGGAGTTTTCGTCGCACGTGTTATATCTGTGTTAGAAGTAACTACAGTTTTGCTAGACTATTTTTAGCAATATTTTAGAAACATTTAGCACATTTTAGAAATGAGGTAAACATTTGTAAACGATGACTATAGAGTTATATGACCATTGTCGGTTGTCGTCCCTCCTGTATGTACCTCAGGTCCGGTGTTGACGACGGGCCGCGGGCAAGGGTTCTGTCAACTGGCTGTTACGTGTTGACGGCGGGCGGGGGAGGGTTGCGTCAACGGGCTGGTCGTTTCAGTAGTTTCCCAGTGGGCACAATATTCAGGTATAACGTAGATTAAACGTTGAATTTAACGCTTCGATATTGTGCCCATTGTGTTGTAGTTAACGAAGGTACATTTATTCCATTATCTAATTTTTAGGTTAGCGTTTGCCGCAGTGGAGAGTAGAGTAGGTAGGTAGGTAGGTTGAGGAGAGTAGATTGGTAGGTAGGTTGAGGAGAGTAGATTGGTAGGTAGGTTGAGGAGAGTAGATTGGTGGGTGGGTTGAGGAGAGTAGATTGGTAGGTAGGTTGAGGAGAGTAGATTGGTAGGTAGGTTGAGGAGAGTAGATTGGTAGGTAGGTTGAGGAGAGTAGATTAGTAGGTAGGTTGAGGAGAGTAGATTGGTAGGTAGGTTGAGGAGAGTAGATTGGTAGGTAGGTTGAGGAGAGTAGATTGGTAGGTAGGTTGAGGAGAGTAGATTGGTAGGTAGGTTGAGGAGAGTAGATAGGTGGGTGGGTGGGTGGGTGGAGGAGAGTAGATAGATAGGTGGGTGGAGGAGAGTAGATAGGTGTGTTAGTGGAGGAGAGTAGATAGGTGGGTGGGTGGGTGGAGGAGAGTAGATAGACAGATGGGTGGAGGAGAGGCAGGTACACACTGGTGGTGGCCAGAATAACCAATGTGTGGGGAACGACTCCCAGCACAGCTTGTGTAGTAAATAATGACGAAGCTCTTTAGCAGTGACGTAGATGGCGCTTATTTACATGGAGTCACTGTATGTAGGCTAAGGTTAGAACACTCAAGAGATCCAAGGACTCACACTGCACATGAGTCAGCCAGCTTCACCGGGACATGGAAAAGTATCTTCAATATCCATAAAATTAGATGTCTGTAAGAGGTTCGCGACCAGATGCTGTGGCCTAGCTTCGCCCAAATTTGAACCGGAATTATTGTTGGGTACATGCCCAACATGGGTGGGGGTCGGGGTTGGCATCATTGAAAAGATGTTTTACCCTTTTGTAAAACTTTAAGTGCTGATAATGACAAACTTGAAAGGAAAAATCTAATAATTCTTTTAAGTCTGAATAAACTTTGACATTGTGGTATTTTGTTCAGATCTTCTGGATTGTGTTAATGTCTGGTGAACATTAATATTGTGATGAACAACTTTGAGTTGGCCAGTGAATGTTGCCTGCTCTCTACGTCTCGGTGGTCAGCCGGAGGCAGCGGAGCCTGTCTGCACCTCTGACGTTTCCCGTGGTAAACAGCAGTGACAATATTGCAACAGTCGGGAGCAGTGATTGTATATTACGAGTCAGAGACGGATTGTAGAGACGTCCTCTAGAGGTGATGCTACAATATCTGTGTTCTACCCAGACGTTAGGGACCATATGCTTGCGTTCGCCTGTTGGTGATAGAGGAAGTTATGTAAGAACCGCTCCTTAGGCATTGTTGTGACAGCATGCCGTCGGGAGCCGAAGTAGCATGCGTCTAGCCGCACCAGCTGACGCCGGGGTGCTGAAACACACTCCTTAACACGCCAGCTCCTTCATTTCTCTCTCCCTCTCTCTCTCTCTCTCCCTCTCTCTCTCTCCCTCATTCTCCTTAGCAGAACCCCACTTACGCTAAAACACCATACACGCCCAATACACACAGCCCATTTTCCCCTCCTTCCCCACATACTCGCACACACACACACACACACACACACACACACACACACACACACACACACACACACACGCAGTAAGAATGGGAACACTCACACACGCAATATCTCAGAACTAAATGCATGCACTCAAACCCACGTAGGCCCGCGAGTACTTGCTGTCACACAAGTGTACACACACACACACACACACACACACACACACACACACACACACACACACACACACACACACACACACACACACACACACACATACATATATAACTAAGAGACATGAGTTGCGAGGAAAGGCTGCGTGAACTGCACCTCACGTCGAAGGAAGACAGGAGAGCTGGGATAGTAAATCGTGCCTCACATGCTTAATAGAAGTCTACGACCAGCGACAAAAATTAGGCAAGAAAGAGGAGGGTGGGAACACAGAATTTTCTTGGACTATCAGAAAGCCTTTGACACAGTACTCATAAAAGGATGTTACACAAGTTGGAGACAAGCAGGAGTAAAAGGTAAGGTGCACCGGTGGATAAGGGAGTATCTAAGCAACAGGAAACAGCGAGTAACCTAGTTACAGCCCGGTCCTGTGCCAGGTAGGTCCACAACGGGCTCACCATAGCCCGTGCTACTTGGAACTTTTAGTTCCAAGTAGCTGAATCTAAAACAACAACAACAACAGCGAGTAACTGTGAGGGAGCAGACATCAGAGTGGCGAGATGTCACCAGCAGAGTCCCACGGAGCTCTGTACTTGGACCCATCCTGTTTCTGATATACGTAAACGATCTTCCAGAGGGTATAGACTCATTCCTCTCAATGTTTGCTGATGATGCAAAAATTATGAGACGGATCAAGAGAGATGAAGATAGACAGAGAGTACAGGATGACCTGTACAAACTGGAGGAATGGTCTAGAAAATGGCTACTAAAATTTAACTCAGAGAAGTGTAAAGTAATGAAATTACGTACTCACCTATTTTTAGGCGAATTTAGCTAAAATTAAGTGAAGGGAACAGGAGGTTGAACACAAGGTACCATCTGGGAAGTGAAATCCTGCAAGAGTCAAATAGAGAGAGAGAGATCTGGGGGTTGATATCACACCGAACCTGTCCCCAGAAGCCCACATCAAAAGGATTTCATCAGTGGCATATGCTAGATAGGCCAACATAAGAACTGCCATTAGAAACATTTGTAAGGAATCGTTCAGGACCTTGTATACCACTTATGTCAGACCAATCCTAGAGTATGCAGCTCCAGCCAGGAGTCCATACCTAGTTAAACACAGGACAAAGTTAGAGAAGATTCAAAGGTATATCACCAGACTAGTCCCAGAACTGAGTGGTATGAGCTACGAGGAAAAGCTAGGGGAGCTAAGCCTCACGTCCCTGAAAGATTGAAAAGTAAGGGAAGACATGTTAACCACCTACAAATTTCTCAGGGAAATTGACAGGGGTAAACAAAGACCAATTCTTTAGCACGGGTGGAACACGAACAAGGCGACACAGGTGGAAACTTAGTACCCAAATGTGCCACAGAGACATTGGAAAGAATACTTTCAGTGTCGGAGTAGTTAACAAATGGAATGCATTAAGCAGTGATGTGGTGGAGGCTGACTCCATACACAGTTTCAAATGTAGATTTAATAGAGCCCAGTAGGCTCAGCTTCTGTACACCAGTTGATTGACAGTTGAGAGGCGGGACCAAAGAGGTAAAGCTCAACCCCCGCAAGCACAACTAGGTGAGTACACCTATGATATTCACAAGTGTTGTTTGTATTCATATTTTATTTTTATGGTTTCATTGTTGGCAGCTGTTACAGCATGGCATTAAAATACTTTCCCCCGCCTCCCACAGATGTCAGTCATGAGGGAGGCACGGGTCCTCTGCCTGTCTGTCTTCATTGTAAACAGTCACACCCACATCCACACTCTCCGATCAAAGAGAGATCTTTTGGGAGTGGATATCTACAGAGGTACGTATATTCTCTGTGACGGGACCACCAGATCATGTGACGTTTACACTACGATAATGTTATTATTTTGTATACAAATGTGCATGTTTTTTTATTTATTTTATTTGTAAATTATCACCAATGTGTAGAAAGTGGAACCTTCCTTTTTCGTCACAGATTTGAACACCTCACCGTCCTCGGCTAACTCTCCCCCCAACTCTTGGCTGTACAAGTTCCCTCCGTGGTTCCTACCTGGGAACCCCGCACCAGAGGGCTTTCACTCTCACCGAGACACACACAAAGCTGGCACTCCCGAGTTCTCCATGGTAGACGACGGCGACATCCTCATCATCGACAACTTTGGCGTTAGTGATCTCGTTGGTCACATTAACAACGTTAGAGTCCCTGGCAACTCAGCGTTCCGAGACGAAGTAGTGCAGACACTTCTTGATGTTAAGTATAGTAGAGGTCAAAACCCTGCTTTCCGAAAAGGGAAAGTCGCTTCTGAAGGCACATCTGGTGAATTGGTGACTCCCTGGTTAGTGCCCCAGAGCGTGCCAGAGCCACCCCTGCCCTCCCCGGTCCCTACTGCGCCTATCTCCCTCCACGACAACCATGACAACGACGTAAGGGATCAAACCCACGGAGGGAAAGTTAATCTCGTTAATACAGCGTTGCGGCCTAACGAAGCCTTCCCTTTCATTTCAGACAATGAAGATGTTTTTCGGACAATAACGTCATCAAGAGAGCCCACTCCAACAGACGTTGATAACAAAGGGTTCCGGCCGAGCCCCTTTGACCGGTTGCGTACTGCGCGTCCCATCAACAGAGCTCAGGTTGAACATTCTTCCAGTAACAAAGATACCTTCCGGCCATCGAAGCTGATCTCCGTGACTCGTGTGTCCGAGGACTCGTCACCAGGAGCTCCAGCGGTAACTTCGCCAGGACAGAAACATGGCGTCGGCAACAGTAACTTTCAGCACAATATTATCAGCAAAAACTTTTTTAGAGACCGACAAGCTTTTCTGCTCAAGGCATCAGATCGGCCACGATCATCGAGAACCTTGATTCGTGGCAACGACAATGATATCGGGAATCCCCAGTTGATCAGCAAACAAGATGACCCATTATGGGTACCCTTTGTCCCAGGTGTACCTTTGTTCCTCCAGCGAAGCAGAAGGCTGTCACAAACCGGGAGCCGAGGAGAACCCCTACGAAATAAAGATCACCCTCACAATTCACAGCTTGACACTTTAGGAAGCCCACAGGATGTAGTCAGCGACCCACAGCTCCGAAATCGAGAAGAATCGGAATCAAACTCTTTTCAGTTACCCTCGAGCATCCAGGATATTATCAACAGCGACTCTGACACAGCCCAGCCGCTGTATATCAGAGAACCCATCTCTGTCACCTCAAGCCGTGGGACATCATCAAACAGAGGAGGCGACGGAAGCGACAGATGGTCCTGGCCGACGTTTTGAGTGGCAAGATTGTGATTATATCCCGCTTAGTAGATTGTAATTGACACGCTCAGTGGTATTCGACTCACATCACACACATTGACCCTGCGTCGCTACACACACACATTGACCCTGCGTCGCTGCACACACACATTGACCCTGCGTCGCTACACACACACATTGACCCTGCGTCGCTGCACACACACATTGACCCTGCGTCGCTGCACACACACATTGACCCTGCGTCGCTGCACACACACATTGACCCTGCGTCGCTGTACACACACACATTGACCCTGCGTCGCTGTGCACACACATTGACCCTGCGTCGCTGTACACACACATTGACCCTGCGTCGCTGTACACACACATTGACCCTGCGTCGCTACACACACACATTGACCCTGCGTCGCTGTACACACACATTGACCCTGCGTCGCTACACACACACATTGACCCTGCGTCGCTGTACACACACATTGACCCTGCGTCGCTGCACACACACATTGACCCTGCGTCGCTACACACACACACATTGACCCTGCGTCGCTGTACACACACATTGACCCTGCGTCGCTGTACACACACATTGACCCTGCGTCGCTGTACACACACATTGACCCTGCGTCGCTGCACACACACATTGACCCTGCGTCGCTACACACACACATTGACCCTGCGTCGCTGCACACACACATTGACCCTGCGTCGCTGCACACACACATTGACCCTGCGTCGCTGCACACACACATTGACCCTGCGTCGCTGTACACACACACATTGACCCTGCGTCGCTGTGCACACACATTGACCCTGCGTCGCTGTACACACACATTGACCCTGCGTCGCTGTACACACACATTGACCCTGCGTCGCTGTACACACACAATGACCCTGCGTCGCTGTACACACACACATTGACCCTGCGTCGCTGTACACACACACATTGACCCTGCGTCGCTGTACACACACACATTGACCCTGCGTCGCTGTACACACACATTGAGCCTGCGTCGCTGTACACACACACATTGACCCTGCGTCGCTGTACACACACATTGACCCTGCGTCGCTGTACACACACATTGACCCTGCGTCGCTGTACACACACACATTGACCCTGCGTCGCTGTACACACACACATTGACCCTGCGTCGCTGTACACACACACATTGACCCTGCGTCGCTGTACACACACACATTGACCCTGCGTCGCTGTACACACACATTGACCCTGCGTCGCTGTACACACACACATTGACCCTGCGTCGCTGTACACACACACATTGACCCTGCGTCGCTGTACACACACACATTGACCCTGCGTCGCTGTACACACACATTGACCCTGCGTCGCTGTACACACACATTGACCCTGCGTCGCTGTACACACACACATTGACCCTGCGTCGCTGTACACACACACATTGACCCTGCGTCGCTGTACACACACACACATTGACACTGCGTCATTAACAAAGTTTCTTACACCCTGAAGAAACCCTACCAACCGATTTAATATATATTGTATTTATATGATCTATGTGTATAGTTTTCTTACTTCTAAAATGTATTGTTAATATTGCTCCATATCTGTTCATAATATTTGTAAATAAAGTGACACATGTATCGTCGCACCATTTATATCCCGAGAATATATATACATTATATTTGGACCCACTCATCTACCCCGAGGCAATAATACATATAATGACGGTCACAGACGCTTATAAAGCGATACATACACAGGTATACTCCGCTTCTCGGTGTGTATATATACAGTTTAGTTTAGTCCTGAACATAGTACAGAACTCAAATATACTTGCTGATGATAAGTGAACTATGTTGACCAGACCACACACTAAAAGTAGAAGGGACGACGACGTTTCGGTCCGTCCTGGACCATTCTCAAGTCGATTGTCACAATCGACTTGAGAATGGTCCAGGACGGACCGAAACGTCGTCGTCCCTTCTACTTTTAGTGTGTGGTCTGGTCAACATACTTCAGCCACGTTATTGTGACTCATCGCCTGCATAAGTGAACTATTGTAGTGGCCTAGAAAATCCTCCGGCGGGGATAGCCCTCAAGTCCAACAGGTAAATGTAGTTTTTTGACAAAAACTCTAACAACTAACAGTTTACATCTTTAATTCACTGCACTAGAAACCGGTATTTTATCAGATATAAATTTACTATTATTATGCGGGCGATGAGTCACAATAACGTGGCTAAAGTAAGTTGACCAGACCACACACACTAGAAGGTGAAGGGACGACGACGTTTCGGTCCGTCCTGGACCATTCTCAAGTCGATTATTATTATGCACTGTTAGACCTAGGTAAGGTTTGCTAAAGTAAGTTGACCAGACCACACACACTAGAAGGTGAAGGGACGACGACGTTTCGGTCCGTCCTGGACCATTCTCAAGATTATTATTATGCACTGTTAGACCTAGGTAAGGTTTGCTAAAGTACCAGACCACACACACTAGAAGGTGAAGGAACGACGACGTTTCGGTCCGTCCTGGACCATTCTCAAGTCGATTATTATTATGCACTGTTAGACCTAGGTAAGGTTTGGAAAGGGGTTTTGGTTAGGTTGATTATACAGTGTTTACAAGCTGGCAGTGAATGGAGAACTTTCTAACAGTTATGTTGGTAAATGTACACAATAAGGAATGTCACCGACTAGGAGTCGGTATCCTGTAAACTGTATCCTGTACCTCGTGAAGCCTTGAGGTTACCTTCAGAGGATTTCGGGGCTAAGCGTCCCCGCGGCCCGGTCGTCGACCAGGTCGCCTCCCCCAGCCACCGAGAATTTGTTTTGATGATAGTTTTGTGTTAGGCTTAAGGTCGATCAACCTGTGAAGGGTTATTTGGCTACTACAGTAGCTTAACTGATCATCAGAAAGCTTAACTGACCATCGGAAAGCTTAACTGCCCATCAGAAAGCTTAACTGCCCATCAGACAGCTTAACTGACCATTAGAAAGCTTAACTGACCATCAGACAGCTTAACTGACCATCAGACAGCTTAACTGACCATCAGACACCTTAACTGACCACCAGACAGCTTAACTAATCATCAGACAGCTTAACTGAGCATCAGACAGCTCGCCCGTTCTCTTGATTTGCCACTCAGTAAAAATTCCAATCAATACCCTAACTAGAAACGTACGAACCCAAGCAACCAAACTTATTTATAGAGTCCAATGCATAGAAAGAGAGGAAAATTTGTAAGGCGTTTCTTTTATATATAAGATACGTTTCTAACGTTGGTAAAGATGTGAAAACACGACCTATTTTTTAGAGGACGGGTTGATCAAGTATACTTTAGTTCCGGTCTGTAAACCGAGTACAATTCTCGGTGTACACATACAGTGATGGCCTGAAATTTGTTTTCCTAAACCCCATTTTAATGAGGATCGGGAATTATCTATGGTATAATAGATATAAAAACGTTATAATATTTTATAATCTGTTGACTATATTTAAAGTTATTGCCGCCTATTATAAAGAAGAAGAAACAGGATAGTACCTATTGCAATTGTGAAGCAATCTACACAATGTGGATTATACCGTCCAACCACTTGGGCTGGACGGTAGAGCGACGGTCTCGCTTCATGCAGTCATTCTTCAATGACCACTTCGGCGGTCATTCCCCGACCGTCCAAGTGGTTGGGCACCATTCCTTTCCCCCCGTCCGATCCCAAATCCTTATCCTGACCCCTTCCCAGTGCTATATAGTCGTAATGGCTTGGTGCTTTCTCCTTATATACCCCCTTCCCTTCCCGACATGTGCTGGTCCACACCGCCATCTGCTGAGTCTCTAAACAGTCCGATAAGTAAGAAATAATCAAACATAACCTTTTCTAGGCTTAATATAGTACACATATGTAATAAATTACAGCTAGGATTTACCTTTTCATTGGAGACTTTCGGGGCCGTGGAGAGGGGGACTTGCTGCATGGGTAACAGCTTCTTCCCAGTATCAACCTACTCTGGCTTTGCGCCCTGGAGAGGCCACTCCAGACCGACAACCAGAGCGCAACTCCATAGTCTCCTGAGACTGATGGATGCCTACTACTACAGCTAAGATTACGTATATTAGGCCTAGGATTACTTATTGAAATTGAAATTGAAATAAGTTTATTGAGGTAAAATACACACAAAGGGATGAGGTAGCTCAAGCTATTCTCACCCCGTTCAGTACATCGTGTTAATACATAGATACACATCACAAACAATAAACGTATTACCGAACATTCTGAGAGATAAACATATACATTTCCTAATTACTTATTTAGACGAAGACTTAAATGATTATGTTGTTACAATTTTGTTGTTGTACATTCAACATAGCAGTAGAGGTCTTGGGTGCAACGCTCCATATTGTGCACATTCCTCCATAGTCGCTGTAGGTATTAGTCTCAAGGACGGTGAACCCGCTAACCTCTCGCCCACGCACTTGGGCTGAACGGTAGAGCAACAGTCTCGCTTCATGCAAGTTGGCGTTCATTCCCCGACCGTCCAAGTGGTTGGGCACCATTCCTTCCCCCCGTCCCATCCCAAATCCTGACCCCTTCCCAGTGCTATACAGTCGTAATTGTTTGGCGTGTTCTCCTAATAGTTTCCTTCCCCTCTCCTGTGCTCTTCTTTCCCTCGTCTGTACTCTCCTTCCCCTCGTCTGTACTCTTCTTCCCCTCGTCTGTACTCTCCTTCCCCTCGTCTGTACTCTCCTTCCCCTCGTCTGTACTCTTCTTCCCCTCGTCTGTACTCTCCTTCCCCTCGTCTGTACTCTCCTTCCCCTCGTCTGTACTCTCCTTCCCCTCGTCTGTACTCTCCTTCCTGTACTCTTCTTCCCCTCGTCTGTACTCTCCTTCCCCTCGTCTGTACTCTCCTTCCCCTCCCTCATGGCTCCAGCCTAACCAATCGGGAGGCTGGCCCAGGTAATGTCACTCCGTCACTCGCTCAGTAGCGGTCATTACTAAGCCTCGTGAGCCACCACGTGTGCCGGACACCTTGATGACGGCATCCAGAATCATTTGTTTCTTATTTACAATGGTGCATTGTTGCCGGCATGTCGCCGAGGGCAAGAAATTACATAACGAGACAGCCATTACCATTACGGAGAAGTTAGGCTAGCGTTTTTGTAATGGCTTCCGTTCCTAGTGGGAGGGACAAGTAATTGGTGAGGGATGGGGTGGGGGGGGTGAGGGATGGGGAGGGTGTGAAGGATGAGGGAGGGGGTGAGGGATGGGGTGGGGGAGGAGGAGGTGCACAGAACACCGGAGCCAATACTTGATGGCCAGCCAATGACGTGATCGATGAGTGTGTGTGTGTGTGTGTTCGTAACTATGTGTGTGCAGCACAGAGCTTTAACTCCTGGGCCCTGCCTTTCTGTCACTCGTCTGTTGTAATATCACGAGCTCTTTATTTCTAGTCATCATCGCTTCTAAAACTATGGTTTCTAAGAGCAATAATGTTTTTTACTGCTTTTAATTTGGGAAAG